ATTTAAGTGGAGAAATTCTGAGGCCACACCCACACTGAGCAGAGGAGAGAATGTGATCAATTAGTGATGTCTGCCAGGGGCACAGGGATGGGCAGGGGTGAGGGAATTATAAAATTGAAAGTCTGTCAAGAATGTTTGCCACTTTTGATTTAGGCAAAGGATTCGATGCTTTGTGCAGAGATCAGGGGAACAAAAGCCTGTCCACTACATTAAAAGTTTACAGTGAATTTGTATGTCCAGAAAAATGTGTGTATAATCCCATAAGGGGCTTAGAGAGAAATGGAAAATATCTGCAATATAAATGCAGGTTACCTTTATTACAAAATTGGATCATATTCTCATTCCTAGACTAATTTCCTATATCATAAAACCTATATTCAATTTTATAAATAGCATACACCAAGAATCATAAATTCAGTTAATGCAGAAATTTAACAGATTTTTTTTTTTTAAATAAAAGTGAGAAAAGGCTGTTTTAGAGCAAGTATCTGAAAGGACAGAAAGGGTTCTTTCTTTGAAGATATGTTTTTTCATCTGACTCTACCTCCTTGGGGACATAACTAGAGAAGAAATAAATTTCACAGCTAATATATATGAAGTAACATGTTTAACATTATCCAATGAATTGATATCTCCCTACACCATATAAATATATCTCACATAAACTGTCACCTCCAAGAGAATTCATTAAAACAATGTTACAGCTTCCGAATTAAATGCAATCTTCTAATTGGAATTTAATCTTACAATAGTAGTTGGCAGATTTTCTTTTTGAATTGACAAATGGAATAATTCATTAGTTTGTCTTACAGTTCTATGGGAAGAATTTAACAGTAAATGTGACATAGAGACTGGCTAGCCACTGCTGTGAGGTACTGGGTGGGGGCTGTGGGAGGGAAGGGGGCTTGGAGGTTCTTTCACCATCATCAGAACTCCTCCCACGGCTTAGGGGTGGGGAAGGATGGACACTCTTCCTCTCACCATCCTGAATTACCGCATTACTAATATATTCCATTACCTCCACGTAAATGTCATGTTAATTTCTGATCATCATCAAGCCAGACAATGGTTTCCCCCTTGGCCCCTAGCCAATTAGCTATGTGGAAAATAGTCAGCCAATTACATTACTTGTATTAGGTTAGGGACTGGAGAGAGAGAAGAAAAATAAACGCCTCAAAAATACTTCCCAGATAAAATGTAAGTTGACACTGTCTTCCCGTGCTGGAGTCCAAGTTATACAATCTGATAGGCAGCTGCCAGCACTCATAACTGCTTATTAAATCTAGGCTGTCTTTATGGCGTGAGTGAAGATCTGTATTTTTACCAATATTAGGTTCATTGTGTTAGGAAAGAGACCAAAAAACTTAAGATCATTCGCTCCAGCTTATAAAACATATTATGTAGTTTATTAAATTGTTAAAATTACTTTTCAAAGTCAAAATTTCAGGGACTGGAAGTTTCAGCACAACAAAGTGGCTTGGCCCACTCACAGCTTCCCGCACAAGGCGGCTGAGGAGGGGAGCCCACCTGCAAGCCTTCCTGTTCCCAGACGCCTGCTACCTGCCCCACCTCCTCCCGGAAGCTGCACCACTGCCACACCCCACCCCAAAACCAATAACCAAAATCCACAGTCTTCAGTTTCATAAAAATATCCAGGAACTTCCAGCCACCAAGTAGCCCACTATCAAGCCTTAAATGAGAAGGATTATTTTCTGTGTTTTTACCTCTTTCTAGTAGGTCAAAAGCTAGGCATTTGTTTATGAGAGAGACCCAAAGAGGAACTGTAGGCAAATAAGGAAAAACAACCGGTGACAAAACAATGCTGCATGAGTCTTATACTCTTATCCCAGATGCACCAGCAACCGACAGTTTACTGGGAGGAACAATGCAATGCCGAGGCACAGGCTGACAAACAAGCCAACGTATTTGCCGTCTACAGTCAACTTTTCTAGAGAAAACTCTATGCAAATCCAGACTGTTATTGTCACATTTATTAATAACACTGTGGCTAACTGCCTATTAAATATGCACAGACTTAGCCGGTCTTCACTCCTGGAGTCTCGTGATGTGCATCAGATAGGTACCAACATCAACTAAAGCTTCACGCCGGGGGGAGACAGGAGCCAACTCTGATTCCCTGCTGGCGAGGGCATTAAAGAATCACATCACAAAGAGACGCCTCAAGTGCTCAACCCTTCTTTCTCTGTATCCTGCCCCTAAGCTAATTTATTATGCAAGCATGGTTATCACCAACATAAATTGAGTACATTACCTAACTACTCATTTTCTGAACTTGAAATTCTGCCGCGATGATCTACTTGCGTAAACCTTTTATCATAGGGCTTTGTTTCTTTGCACCGGAGTGAGGAGATCTGTTGTTCTAGCTGTCTACTGCTGGGACCGGGACCTTGTTCTATCATGAGGTCACTTACCATGAAACATTTCACTCAGAATTGGAGTTGATTTCGTGCCTAGAGACTCCAAGGTATCAGCGGTAACAATTAACTGATGCTTCTTTTGGTTACTCGATCAACTGTAAAGTTCTGAAAGCCGTAGGACTATGAATACGTTTTTGACAACAGAAGGATTAACTAGCTATCAGGTATGCAATGCATCGCAGGCCAGGTTAGTGCATCACAGAGGAAGAGAATCAGTCCTTTAATCGAACCTCGAAGGTGTACTCTGAGGATAAACAATCATAAAGAATCAGAACACATACTCCAGTTCATCAGATTTCAGGGATCTCCACTTCCTACTAAAAATACAGTGAAGGCAAACTGATTACAATCGGATAAATACAAAGCATTTCCTTATTTAGAAAAAACTGGTAATCGGCTGGGCCTAACTGTATTTTATCAACTCAAGAGGTATCATTTTCATTACAGTTCTTCAGGTTGATTTTTCACACAGCAGGCCTTACCCAAATGAAATTAATGAATAAAACGAGCCTAGTCTTCAATAAATCCATTCATGTGGTTTTGTTCAATTTCATACATCAATTTATGACAGTGACATTGAGTCAGACTCTCTCAGTACTGAAGACAGAGATGACAGGTAACCTCAAACCTGAGTTTGTTGCTATTTCAATACCTTCAGCAGAATTCCAACCACTTCTTTGAATTCTCATGTTTACGCGAGACAGACCCAGGCTTTATACTCAACTCTACCTGGATCCCCAAAGATATAACTTTTTATAATGTCTGCTATCTGCTCACTGGTCTACAGACCACTCAGAGAAGTCTATCACAGCTGGTTAGCAATAGAAAACCTCAGAAGAACTTCATAGGAGAAAGAAGCACAGGACTTGCCCAGGACCACCCCATAAGATGATCAAAGCACCCTAACAGATCTAAAATTCCATGAGTCCATTAACTATTAATTTTCATGGTGTACACCCTTGCCTTATGTGTTACAGGTTTCTACTTGCTTTATTTCTTGCCATGAAAGAATACTGTAAGGAAGATATAAGACTGTTTTTCCTCCATCTCCAGCTCCAGCAGAATGAAATGCAAAGGACAAGTAGTCAGATACCAAACTAGCCTAAGTGGAAGTGAATTTAAAGCCCACGGGCTCTTTGAGCCTGATATTCGGGCTGGTTGCTTCAGCAGGGCTCTTTTCATCTATAAAATGGGAAGGATTTGTCAAAATGACCTCTAACTGTAAAATCTTTAAAAAGCTGGCCCAAACAGCAAAATGCAAAACAACATCTTAAAGAGACACATATCAGCAAAGAAGGTTTACAGAATTGCGGGGCTTGGATGTCACAATCTCTGTAATTGAGATAAGCTAGAGAGAATCACTGAGGATAAAATAACCTGGGATACAGCTCTGACCTAGCCCAGGGACATAGACATCTCCATCAGACTCTCTGGGCTGCAGATTCTCCATCTGTAAAGTGAGGGGATTTAAACAGCCAACTTCTAGGGCCTTGTTAGCACTGACAAACACGACACTCTAACCTACCTGCTTTATTTTAAACATAGGAAATCAAAACAGACCAACTTGCCCCATGTCAGCTAGCTATCAGGTCTCCCAATTTCTAATACAGTGTTCTTTCTACTTCACTAGACTTCCCTCCATTAAATAGAATCTGTTTCAAATACAACTCCACTAAGACAAACAAGATGAGTTTATGCCAATGGTTCTTATCATTAAATGCCATTCACTACAAAACTGAAACCAAATGGTTCCCTATAAAGCTGACCTCGTTTTATGACAAAGCTACCATTGAATGATGTCAGAGTTTTTACCCAAAACACCTGGCCTCAACCAATTCTTGTCTTTGATAAAGGCGAGTCACAATTGTTCATTCTTTACTACAGGGGAGCCCGTGAGTTCTGAAGAACATGACAGACGCCATCAAATCTACAGAAAAAGAGCATCACGTCCCTTCTAACTTCCCCCTAAAAATTACAATGAATAACCTGATAAGGAGAACTATGCTAGAAAAAAATGCTCACGAGTCTTTCTGAAAATCTGAGAGTCCACAGTTCCCAACCTTTTAACTTTTTCAAGAGCCCCAGTCATGTGGAAGGCTTGCGATGGGACTTCCTCAATGAACAAATCAGACTTAAATCTCCCACCACCCCACCCACAACTCAAGATGAGGTTATTATTGTCTTATTTCAAGGTGGTTCATTTTATCACCAAGTTTTAATGGGACCAGAAAAGCAATTACTCTTTCAACTGCGCACGTAGCTCATAATCTAGGTAGGCCACCCTTCGGTGTGTGCGTAAAAGAATCACACAAACAAAAAAAGTTCTTCCGTGTCCTATTATGTCTTTTCTAATCCTAAGATCATTGCCCAAGTTATCCAAAAAGGTTATACCACTAAACAATGACAGGGTGACTCTTCTTTCGAAACGAGAGTCTCTCATCTTCAGTGTAATTGTTCTGATGAATTTGGGACCTTTTTTCAGTTTCCTGCACCGTGCAGGACCCCTTCAGCCAACATTTAGTCTTGTGAACTTTCAGACGAATAATCGTAAATGTCACTCACCCTTTTGGCCAGCATGCATCACATCTGTCCGTTCACGGTTGACAGCAAATCAGCCAAGGGATTGAAGCCCTCACCATTGCCCAAATGTTTCGTTCGGAAACTGGAATTGTCAGCAAAAGCTCCTGGGACACTGCAATACAAAATTTTTTTTTTTTTTTTACACACAGCTAAGATGTAACTTCTAAAACCACCACTTCCTTAAACTTGAAAACAGCACGACAGACATAGAATCTAGAGGTAGGGGAAAACACCTTTCAAACGAGGGTATGTCAATATATCAAGTGCGATGCTGTAAAATATGAACCGGAAATAATGTTTTGAAAGATACAGTTACCAATTACTTGAACACATACCCTGAAAGGTTGTTGTTTATTGCAGACTTTGTGCCAAATATTTTATGTAGTTTGGCATTACAAAAATATTTTTTGTCCAATTATCAAGTGCCCAGGTAACAATAAGCTGCTTTAGCTCAAATCTGACATGGATAAATGTATTGATTCCTATTAAGTAACTCTCTTTTCCAGAAGATAAAAACATATGAAAATAAAGTTATTTCAAACATAACAGTGAACATCCAAACTGGGAAGAGAGGTAACCATTGTCATTTTCCTCCAAAATAATTCTACAAATGTTTACGAATTACAGAAGAAGGAAGACTCGGAGATATTTCCATCAAGAGAAAACATATTACGTAATGTGTAGACATCCAAGTGGAGAAGCCTGAATCCTGGACCCCGTATTGTCATCAGTCACTTGTGTGGCTCCAGGAAAGCCATTTAATGCCTCAGGATCCCAGTTCTTTAATCTGCAAGGTCAGGTCATTAACTGATGCTCTCCACGTCCCTTCTTCCTCTCAGCATCTTTGTCTTTTTGGTTAAAGCACACTTATTCCAAATAACCGAAACTATTAGCTTCCGGATTAAAAAGAAGGTTTTTAACACAAATCACTCCTCTGCTGATCTGCCATCAATACCAGAGCTGAGCTGTGGGCAGAGGGTCGTGCACCTGAGCAGAAGAATTCTCACCCTGGCACTAGTGCCAAGCCTTAGTGCACCTGCGCCCTCGGCAGCTGACAACATTCGCTGGGTGCCCAAGGAAGGCTTCCATTCCTCTCCCAAGAGTACAGCTCCAACTCCTGTGGAACAGTGCCCACGTGTACTATAGATGAGTGTTTCTCAAACTTTAGTACGCGGAAGAATAACTTGAAGAGCTTTTTCAAATACAGATTCCTGGGCCCCATCCCCACAGACACTGATTCATTGGTCTGGAACTGGGCCTGAGATTCTGTATCTCTACCAAAATACCAAGGAAGGTGGATACTGCCAATCACAGTTTGTGTCCAAATGATAAAGCCCCATTGTCCAAACTTCAAGTAGCCTTAACACCCAAGAAGCATTTCCAAGGCTCACGGAAGCTGTGCAAAGCTACTAAGTCAACATCACGTAGCAAAAAGAAAGGCGCTGAGGGCTTCCCTGGTGGCGCAGTGGTTGAGAGTCCGCCTAATGATGCAGGGGACACGGGTTCGTGCCCCGGTCCGGGAAGATCCCACATGCCGCGGAGCGGCTTGGCCTGTGAACCATGGCCGTTGGGCCTGCGCATCTGGAGCCTGTGCTCCGCAACGGGAGAGGCCACAACAGTGAGAGGCCCGCGTATCGCAAAAAAAAAAAAAAAAAAAATTGTGTGTGCCTACCTTGCACTAGACACTCTTCTGACTGCAGCTTGCCTGAGTGAGTTTTGGTTGCGAGGCCTTGTAGAGGATGCTTAACCTTTCTGACCTGAGCTTCCTTGTTCATACGGGGAAAGCTAAGGCGTCCCACAATGACCAGGCAGACAATGCAAGTGAACGAGGCAGGCCAGGTATAAGGTACAGGGAGTGAGGAGGGAGGCGGCAGACTGGACGGCCCGGGCTTTCTCAGCTAGGAGGGCGGCCAGTGGCTCCACAAGCCCATTATTGCCACGTGGCAACATGAACCCAGGGCTACAGGAGCTTTCAATTCCACGAACAAAGGCAGAAATCCAGATGACTATTTTGGGAAATTTCCTCATTTTTCAAAGACAGCAGCTAACCTTTTAATAGTACAGATTAAAAAAAAGACAAGAAAAAGAACCCTTGCAACCCGTGTAACAAATTATGGCTAGGGTTACGCCACGGCTCAGGTCTGCAATTCTACAGGGATTCGGAAGCACAGAGAAGCTGCACAAGTGGACACAGGAAAACACAGTAGGTATCTGGGCAGTTAAGGGCTTTTGAGAGCGATTATCTTGGGCAAGTTTTGGAAGGAACTGGAAGACGGGGTGGAAAAGGGATCCCATCAGTTCAGGACATCACGGTCAAAGGCTTACAGGCGGATGAAACAGGAAAGACACACCAAAGAACAGCAGTGAGGAGGGAGGAATCACGCTTCTGTTCAGCATGGGAGCAGCGTCTGGCTTCTAGCTAAGGTGTAAGTTGGTCAATCAACGCTTAAGAGTATCATTAGTGCTGTCCGGTTTGACTTCCTAAAACATTACAGTCCCCAGGCATATCCAAAAATAAGGGATAAACTATCACCGTGGTGTGTGGAATTTTTCTGGTTTCGCTTGTATGTTCTGTTAAGAATCCAACTGACCCAATGCGGAATTCCATCTCCACCGAGCTCTATAACTCTAACCAAAATACTATATGAATGATATATACTGTAGTTTTTATATGGACTTAGAGTACATATACTATAAATACACTCTATATACACATACATATAATACATACATACACATATACACATATATATAAAATACAAGCTCTGTAATTGTAACCAAAATACTATATAAACTACAGATACTATAGTTTTTAATATGCATTTATAGTACATATACTATAAAATACATACTGTATATATACACACTACAATACATGCACATATACTATAAAATATAAGCTGTATAACTCTAACCAAAATACCACAAACTATATACTATACTATAGCTTTTTAGGTGTTCATAGTACATATACTATAAAATACATAGCATATACATATATAAAATACACGCATATATACTATAAAATCAAGTTCTATAACTCTAACCAAAACTCTGACCTCTAGAAATGAAAAACAAAGCAACTGAAATTTAAAAGGAAAAAAAAAAAATGAAAAACCCACCAGAAGAGAAGATAGTATCCAAATAAATGATCCAGTACACTGCCCAGAGGCAAAAACTATCTACCTAGAATTGTATGCCCAGAAAAATTACCTTTCAAAAATGAGGGTGAAATAAAAAGATCTTTTCAGACAAACAAAAGTTTATCACCTCTCTACAAGGACATTCAGAAAGATGCATTTCAGGCCCAAAGAAAAGGATTTTAGGAAGAAGGTTGCTTGATCTAAGAAGGAAGGGGGAGTGAAAATAATGGAGAACTTTGGAGTAAATGAAAAGTGAATGCTTTAAAATGACATGCAGGTCTCAAAATTATAAAAAAAAAAAAAAAAGTCTGGCAACACCATCACTTGCTTCCCACCTAGGCTTACTCGTTCTCACTGGCTGTCAATCACCAAGGTCCTGGACCGCAAACTTGATATGGAACGAGGGCACCAGCTTGAAATGCAGACTCCTGCCCAGAGATTATCAATCTGCATTTCTACCAGATGCTCCAGGGAACTCTGATGAAGTTGCGCCCTTGCCTCTACTCTGAAGAGTGCTGCGCCACTGCAGGGCCAGGAACCCAGTGAGCTCCAGGGGCTCAGCCTGGGGAGGTCCCGACTGACACTCCAGCTGGCCTTTGTTCTTTTCCACTTCACTTACAGCCCCAGAGAGCACCTTGGCCCAGTGGGTCAGCAGCAACCCTGCCTCAACCCTGCTAGTCAGGAGCTGCAATAAATTAAAAGCTCATTAAAATATTTTAGAGAAAAGCCTAGAAGTGCTGAACCATTAATTGTGCCATATTCAATCTGTTTTCCCGGAGATTTGAAAAGCCAGATTACCATCTTGGGGGTCATTAGAAAGAATGAAGCTTTCTCCTTTTTCAATTTACATATTTAAAAATGCAGAGATCCTTCCAGTGGCTACTACAACAGGCTTTCCAAGTCCCGCGGCGGCCACTCCCCCCTCTGACCAAAGAGAAAGAAGCCTGGGGTGCCGTGGGGTCTTGCCTTGTGTTTTCAAGTAAGGAATCAAAACTCAGGGCCTGTGGTTGCAAAACAGCTCCAGGAAAACAGGTAGAGGCAGCCACAAAACAACAGTGCTGTTCTCTTGTTTTGTTCTCCCCTCTTTATTTTTCCCTGCAGCAATCCTTGCTCAGCACAAGTCTGCAGGGAGCTGGAAAGAGCAGCTGTGGTTCCCTGAGGCCAAGACCTAGCAATCAAGTTGTTTACCAAACACTGCCAGGCACCGGGAAAACAACAACAGCACAGGCAGTATTTGCATCTGTTTTTCAAAAACAACCTCCAAAGTCTGGGCCCTGCCGGGTACTTCCTGGCATGGCTCAGAGGAGCACTTGGAAATTAAAGGCATGAACTGCCTGGGGTATGAGCCCCCATGGCCTACATGTCATCCATTATTCCATTTCTTTTGGAGAGTGCCTATCCGAAAAATAAAAAGGATGGGGAGTGTGCAGAGTTTCCAAGCAGGGGATTCAAACAGACAACATGCTCGTCCCTGGCATTTCCAAGCAAGGTAACAGTGGCCATGTTAGCAAACTGGCATACTTTGCTGGCCACCCAAAACCTCAAGACATCCAGCTGTGGTTCTCAGTCTTGAACGAGCAGCAGAACGCCTGGGAGGGCTAAGAAAACACAGATTCCTGGGCCCCTCCCCTGGAGTGTCTCATTCAGTAGGTACAGGGCGGGGCCTGAAAATCTCCAGCAAGTTCCCATGTGATGCTGGTGCTACTGGTCCAGGCACCACGCTCTGGGAAGTAAAGCTAGATGCTTCCTTACCATCCTGAAGACCTGGGGCTTCTTGTCCCACATTAACCTTTCCCATGCATCTGGCAATGTCATACCCAAAGGAGGTCACAGAACAAAATGGACCGGATGGTTTTCCTTTTGTTCCTCCAGATCCTCCATCTGCCATGCTGCCGCAACCCTCCACCTTGCTCTGTGTGTCTTGGAAGGCCCCCCTGCATCAGCAGGTACCCTTGTCTTCTGGCTTCCA